CGGAGTAGAAGAGGAAAAGCCAGTTCGGAGTGCTGTTCCTCTCCAGGAGGCCAGCAAAATCGCGCACATATCTCTGCCCTCCAGGGGTGCAGGTGTGCTACTTTAAATCTTTAATCATTCACATAAATTAAAGCCTATTCATTTACATTTAGCAAATAATATAAAATGACACTGTCCATGTTTTATTGCCAGGCAAGAGCTTTGAACTTCTCTCATTAAGGTTTGATAAGCTGAGAGTTTTCCAGGGCTAGATGGTGCACGTAATCACAGGGGCACAGCGCTGATCAGGGCTGCGGGTAAAGGAGATAGAGCAGCCGGGCGCTCTGCTGGCTGCGGACGCCTCACCCTGCCCACCCACCCTCTGCCCTGTCCTTCCTGGCTGTGGCTTAGAGCCCCAGCTCCGCTTAGAGCGCCAGCTCCGCTCTTTGCACTCTGGGAGTCGTGGAGGGGTGGGGTGAATACTTTGTAGTGGGGCGGCTCTTTGTAAGAAACTTTGAAATCTGGAGACAAGTTGGAACTTCACCCAAAGGCTGATCGGTATGCAGGTGCCGGCAGGACTGGAGGGCGTGCACACACGCGCGGGCACAGCACGGGCTCCTTCAGGCACCGGTGGACCCTCTCCATCTCTGATGCCTTGTAGGGAGTTGATTTTCCTATTAATGTGTACCCTGCCTCTGGGTTCTGTGCAGAATAAAGATCATTTTGACCTCCGAAAATAAAGTGTTATTATGTTGAGAGCATGGATTCTTGGTAGCAGACAAACCTTGATTCGAATCTTGGTCTCTTTTTTGGTTTTGTTGACACAGGTTTTCTCACGCAGCCTAGGGTGGCCTCAAACTCATGTTGATCCCCCTGCCTCAGCTTCCCAAGAGCTGGGATTATAGGGCTGGGCCACCATGTCCAGCTCGGCCTCTCTGTCACTGTCATCTTGAGCAAATTACTTTAATTCTTTAGTGTCATTTTTTTTTTTTTTTTTTAATGAGACAACCTATCAGGCTTGTTGTATTTTACTGTCCCAACAGAGGCACAACAGAACTAGAGGAGTCCTACTATAACAGAGTCATCTGTCGAGGCGCGTCAGGGAGCGTGTGACAGTACCTTCAGCTTTGCACGCAGCACACACAGCGTGGTCCATTCCTGAACTTCATCCATGCTGCTGCAGGCACGCACGCCTGGCCAGTGCGTGGAGGCAGTTCTTACACGGGATCGCAGGGCTCTGTTTCTTCTCCATCCTCCTCCTCTAGGGATCTGCTTGTGCTCAGCGAAGAATCCTGCTTACTGCACCCTGCGCAGCCTGTAAAGCTGAGTAAGAAAGAGCCATTCTTCAGGCAGGTGTCATCCCGGTTGGGATACTCCTTCTCCACACAGTCCCCACCCATGGCGACGTGGCTGACCTGGAACGACCTCATTTCTCCTATTTGTGAAACAGATATATAGATACTGTCAGGATTGTTGTGAAGATTAAAGTAATGTCCAAAAACTTAGCATCTTATCTGGTATGTTGTTTGATAAGTGGCACAGGGGCTTAACATTGGTGACTGTGACTGTTTGTGATATTAAACTTAATATCTTAATGGTACATAAGTGTCAAACAGGTTTGGTCCCTCATTTTTCGGTATTGTTTCTCTTTTTTAGTGTAAAGTTTATTTTCAAAAAAATTCCTCAATCTCTTTTCTGCTTTCTTCTTTCCTTCTTCCTAGGAGGACAAAGTTCTTTGATTCTAACTGCTCTGAAAACATTTCTTGCATAAAGGGCTTTCACACTGACTTGTAGTCCCTGGAGCTAGGGAGGAGAGGCAGCAGGATTTGCTTCTGAGTAGAACTCTTTCATTTTTACCATCAAAAAGAAAGAAAGAAAAAAAAAAAAAACCCTCCAGTACTAGCCTTAGGTAGACATAAACCATAAAAGACCAGATGGTCTAAGGAAGGGATCTTTGTAAAATCGTGGTGAGAGAAGAGGGGCGAGGAAACAGAGCAGGGAAAATATAGCTGATTTGAATTTGGACCTGGCCATTTTTCTTCCCTTGACATTAGTTATACTGATTGCTATTTTAAAAACAATGCCAGAAATTGGCATGTATTTTGTGTGTGAGTTTTGGCTCTGTCTTTTTTTTCTGGGGGTTGGAACCCAGGGCCTTGCAGCTGCAGAGCGTACTCCTAGCACAAAGCTACGCCTTATTCCTACTTTGGGCCGTTTCTTAATGAAATAGTTTTCCAGTTGAGTGAACTGTGTTGGTTAAAGCACTGTTGCGTTTTCACTTCTTGGGGTGGCAGCGAGGGTTTGGAGATGACAGTTGTCAGCTTTGGGACGCCCTTGTGGATAGAGCCTGTCACGGAATATAAACATGTCACTCTTCTGGATTTTAGACTCTCTACCACCACAGTCCATGCTGTCAAACTGAAAACTCTCTTTAGCTCAGCTTGGCAGATTAATTTATTTGTTTTATGAATTTCAGTCAGCCAGGCATTCAGGAATAGTTTTCTATAAGTATCTATTCTTCTACTTATCCAAACATCTAGCATTCTATAAGTAGCCATTCTTCTAAAATGCAGGCAATAGCTCCACGTTTTCCTGAGGACTCAAACCAAAAAAATCAAATGTCCACCTCGGCCACAGCTTCATGGATTTGCTTTTTGGCAGGTTATTTGTTGCTTTTGGGCTTTAGATCGCACCATTCCAGAAGAAAGTGTTTTTCTGGATTTTTGGATGGTACATGTGAACATGAATTGGAAGCCTTGAGGGGAAGTGTGCTTGGTCATCCTTAGGCAGAGAAGGGGAACCCGAGGACCCTGCTGGCGGGGCGTTTTCCCCTGACACAGGATCTTGAACATGCGGACCTGCCTGAGCTTCTTGGGTATTTTATTTTTTTATTTTTAATGGTGTTAGGAATCAAACTCAGGGCCTCACACTTGCCAGGCTGGTTACTGCACCACTAAGCTATATTCCTGGCCAAGTATCTGTACTTTTTTTTTTGTCTTTTTGAGACAGAGTCTTGCTATACAGTTCAAGCTGGCCTTGAGCTCACTTTGTACTCCAGGCTAGTCTTGAGCTCACAACAGTTCTGCTTCAGCCTCCCAAGTGCTGAGATTACAGGTCAGCCATCATGTCCAGCTTGTTCTTTTATAGGTGTGCACTACTAAAATCTGCTGATAGATTTTGGGGGAGAGGGTTGTTGTTGTTTTTTGGGGTTTTTTTTGTGGTGTGCTCAACCCACCCTGGGGGTGGGGCTGGTGCCCCATGTGGTGCCGGAGATTGAAGCGTGGTCCTTGCGCACTTGCCTAAGCTTGCCTAAGGTACTTTAGAACACTGAGCTATCTCACCAGCCCTGGGGGAGAGGACTTGAGACAGGATCTCAGTGTATAGCTCAGACTGAACCTTGAACTCTATCCCAGGCTGACCTGGAACTCAGTGATCCTCCTGTCTCAGCCTTCTGAGTGCTGGGATTACAGATATGTGACACCATACCTGGCTTCTGTGATAAGCTGTTTGTTTGTTTGTTTGTTTGTTTGTTTTGGTATCAGGAATCAAACTGAGGATGTTGTACTTGTCAGGCATGTACTGTGCCACTGAGCTAAATCTCCTGCCTGTGATAAGCTTTTAAGAACCTTTATCAAGCCTGTACCTTGCACCATGGTGTATTAGGTGCATTATTTGACTTAATTCTTAGAATCCTGTACAGGAGTCAGGTGGGGTCATTACCCAGATTCGTAAAGAGGAAATAGACTTGGGGAGACTTTGCCTCAAGGTCACACACCATGAAATGGTAGGGCTGAGAGCTGAACTGGGGTCTCCCTGAATTCCGAAGCGTGGGTTCTTAACCAGTGAATCATAGGCTACAGTGTTCATGAGAAGCACCAAGGGTACTTATTAAAACTTATTGGAGCTCTGGTTAGAAATTTGAGATCACTGAGGTCAGAGATGGCCAGACCACAAATCTGCCTCTGTGTGTGTGTGTGTGTGTGTGTGTGTGTGTGTGTGTGTGTGTGTGTTTAAGCCCAGAGCCTCATACAGAACTAAGCAAGTGCTCTGGTTCTGAGCTCCAGCCCAGCCTCTAATCAGTAGGGCATTCTGTGTGATTCCCGGGAGAAGCTGATGGGCCATACTTAAATGATATTGTTTTCTATGCTGGTGAAGAAGAAAATAGGTATAGACTGATGATCTAAGATAAAACTATGAAAAACAGAGCATGCGTAAACCCAGCTCAGATAAATTCTATCATAATCCCTTGATTGATTCACACATTTCTCAGTTACTACAAACACTGAAAACATGATATCTAGTTAAACAAGCTGTCCAAATGCCATGCTCTTGGTTTCTTTGTTTTGTTTGTCTGTTTTTGTTTTGTGAGACAGGATCTCAGCTATGTAGCCCAGGCTGGCTTCAAGCTCTCAGTGATTTTCCTGCCTTAGCCTCCTGAGTGCTGGGATTACAGGTGTGCGTCCACACCGGGCTTCCATGCTCTTGTTATTTACAAAGGTTAATAAGTTACAAATACAAGGGTCCTGAAATTTCCACGGACCTTCAAACTGCTTCAGTGACTTTGTGAATGAAGGACCTGAAATTTGTTCACAGCCCGCCTGCAAGCAACAGTTGCGCGGGAATGCGCTTCTGGACAAGGATGGACAGGGCTGGGGGGTCGTAGGAAGCAAGGACTTCCAGGTGCGCCGCGTCTCCGAAGCTGTGCTGGGACCGGGCCCACCCCGACACAGAGGACCGAGCCGAGCACGTGTGGCAGCGGGTAGCGCGATGGTCACTCACTATCTGCGCTCTGGCCGTGTTGTCAGAGCTCAGTCATGGCCAGCAGTGTTGTCTGTCTGTCCAGTGGACTCCCAAGGCTAACACCATCACGACTTTCCTGGCCTCTGTCCGTACTGGGAGAGCCTTGCGTCTTGATCTTTCGTTTTTGTGCTTGGAATCAAACTCAGGGCCTCGCTCTGCGCTGCTGAGCTACATCCTGGCGACTGGTTTCTTACTCTACCTCCTTCTTGTTTCATTCGCAGCTCAGCGCCATGTGCTTACATACATGGAGGACGCCGTGTACCAGCTGCTGGAGAACAGGGAAGATGTCAGCCAGTACGGCATCTCCAGGTTCTTCACGGAGTAGTAAGTATGGGCACTTTGCCCAAGCAGGGAGCAGGAGGACTGGAGCGGCTGTGCGATCCCTGCACAGTGGCAGTGAATGCTCGAGAGAGCGTGAAACGTACTTTTGCTGCGGCTGGTTGTGCCCAGTGACATTTGGACCTTGATCACTGCTGTTCACCCACTAGATCTGTCTCTATGTCCTGATTTTATATACAGTGTTTGTTTGTTTTAAGACAAAAATCTCACTAGGCAGTTCAGGTTGGCCTCGAACTGTGTAGCCCAGGCTGGCCTGGAACTCAGCAATCCTCCTGCCTCAGCCTCCAAAGTGCTGGGATTGCAGGTGTGCGCCACCACCCTCAGCCTGCTTGTAATTTTTAACTTCCTTCTTTATTTAGAAGACTCACTCTGGTTTCCTTCATTTGGTGATCAATTAATTTGTTTTACATGGCTGGGGTTGGGGAGATATCTCAATGGCATAAGCACCTGCCTGGCAAGTGCAAGGTCATTGAGTTTGATCCCCAGCAGCAAAGCATTAAAAATAAATAAATAAAGTGATACTTACACAGCTGGCTTTTCTCATGGGGTTTAGGATGATGTTCTATTGCATTTTCTTGTATCAGTTACTGAATAATTGAAGAGCATTTCTTATGACTATCTTGGGTTGGCGTCATAGCTGTGCTTCATTTGAGCCCAGGACCTTGTATATGCTGAGCAGTGATGCTATCTCTGAGCACTCTTTTAGTTCTTTTTTATTTTACTTTTGAGAAAGTCTTGCTGAGTTGGCAGGGCTATCCTCAAACTTGGGATCTTCCTGTCTCAGCTTCCCGAGTACTGTGATTATAGGTGTGCACTGCTATACCTGCACTTAGATTATGTTTTGAAGGATCGCGTAAAGGATAGCTGGGTCTATAAAGGTCAAAAATATTGCTGCTTTTAGTCTCACAGAACTGTGTTTGAACTGAATGAGATAATCACTTTAAAGCACTTCGTCTTCATGCAATGATGAAAGCATTATCACTATTACTATTATTTTATTTTTCATTTTTTAGATGCTATATAAGTACCAGTTATAATTTTAATTATTTTTTACTTTTTTGTGGTACTGGGAATTGAACCGAGGGCCTTGTGCTGGTCTGCATCCCTAGCCATTTTTATTTGCTATTTTCAGACAGTCACTGAGTTGCCCAGACTGGGTTTGAATTTGCAACCCTCCTGCCTCAGTCTCTGGGTGCTGAGATCATGGGCATGTGCCATCATGCTTGGCTGGAAGCGTTATTTTTATTATCAGTATGCCATTATGCACTTGGGTTCCCCTTTTCTGATTTATTTGAAACATTCTAAGAAAAGTAACCTGCCACAGGCACCTATTTAAGATGCGTCATGAGCTAAAGTCCGTCTTCCTGGCATGGAGATCTTTTTCCCACTTCTGTCCTCCGGAGGCGCTTTGGAGATGAGACAGCTAAGTTTGGGCTGCTGCTAGAGGAGTGCTTTCCTCTCCTCCTCGTGCTTTGTGGACCTGGGGTCCTTGTAATTAAAATCCAGGTTTCTTATAGATTGGGATTTTAGATTCTCCGGGAAAATAAGCTTTTGGGGAAGCGCTCTAGTCCCTTCTGCCTGCCGTGGACAGGAACAAAGGAGCGGTACTTGTTCACGCGGTGTGGCCTGAAGCAGATGGAGTGGGCAGGAGCCGGGGGACGACCCTGTGTCGGGTCGCTTTCTTTGCTTCTACACAACTGACAGGCCTGGGGCTCAAGTTTCTAGACCACTGATGTGTACCAGCGCCGAGGCCTCCTGGCCACATGAGCCATGCCTTCTAGGTAGAGCTTCTTCCTGGCCTGTTGTCACTTTACCCCTTCCGTGTTATCGGTGTCTTCTGCGCTGTGTGGTTCCTTGGCTGTGGGCCTTGTTTCTCCTTCATTTGTGCTTTCTAAGTATCTGGCAGGAGGTTTAGCTACTTTAGGTAGATATTTCTTGGGTCCGCAGCTGCATTTTAATCTATTCCATACCACCTAGTCTTATTTTTAATATTGTTATAGGGACTGTTTTCTTCTTTTTCCCTCTACTGTTGATTTCTGGTGTAAGCTCTAGCTTCTGTCCTCTGAGAAGCTGTACTCTGTATGTCTAGGGCCCCAGAAGCAAAGCCAGTGATCATGTAACCGATCCTGGACTCCGGAGAACTCTCGGAGGCTTCTAACTGTTGAGCTTCTCGCCCGCAATTCACTGTTGGAGGGAAAAAAAAAAAAAAAAACAAACACAAAAAACAAAACAGGACAGAATTATGATTTTTTCACAGCCCTGATAGCAATCTCATTGCCAAGCGAGCTATTTCTCATTCCCAGGAAACTACAGTCACAGAACGTCCGTGAGTGGCGTGTACCTGGCATGGCTCTAAGTATCAGACTGGCCCAAGGTAAAGGAGTTTGAGAATGGAAATTTGAACTAGCATCAAAGCTCCAAAAAACATTTTTTAAAAAAAGATTTGAAAGGTGTAGTTGTGTGACGGAATGGGAAATTAGTAGAAAGGGAATTTGGTAGACAAGGAGGCCTAATGATAGAAGTTTCTGGATTTTACTTTAATTGTAACTTTATCCAGTGAAATTCCTCCTCTTTCTGGCCTCTCATTTATGTGGATTCATAGAAGTATGATGAAATGAAAAGAAGAGAAAGATGAGCTCTTAGTTCTTAAAAGTCCTTTTCTTTAAGCTTTGGCCAGTTTTTTAAAACTGGGCCTCAGTTGCCTCATCTACGAAATGGGTTGGATGAAACCTCAACTGCTAATAATAGAAAAATTGAAAATACAATGGGCACTTTTGTTAAACTCATACTGCATGCCATTCACTGCAATTCTTTAAGATGTAGGTCCTATAATTATCTCTGTTACTGAGGAAATTGAGCGAAGAGCTTTTTCAAGTTCAGAAGCTAGGAAGTATCAGGGAGGCAGTGAGCCTTGCCTGCTGTGTTGTGCAGTCCGCTGCTCCCTGTGAGATTCTGACTGCCTACGACTGGAGCCCGTGCAGAGCCGATCTGGAGGGCTCGTCTTCTGCATTGCTCCGATTCTCCCTCCCTGTGAACAATACTCTGCAAGCTCATACTGAGCCTTGTCTGGTGAGCTGCTCTGTTGCCATTGAAGTGTTTAGCATCAGCCTTTAGTAGGGCTGTCTCCAGATAACAGGAAACAGGGTTTTTAAAAATTATGTTGACTGTACTCTTGCTGCAGTTTTGAGTTCACCCCTCCTCATGCATTCGGTGACGGGTGATTTACCCACCATGATGACAGAAGTCCCTTAGGAATTGTCTTTGGGAGGCTTTCCTGCGACTTTCTTTTCCAGGACTGCTGTCCTCTCACCTGTGCTGTCACCCCTTGGTTGTTTGTGTTTTCAAACAAGGTCGCAATTGTTCCAGCAAATCTGGGTGAAAATGAGACGTGTTGGCTGAGCTGTACCAAGTGAGCCTGTGAGCTGTGCGCTCTACAGATCGTATTCCTCGGGACACTCTTGACAGGGGGACACTCACCCCTTGAGGACTCTCCCCTGTGCCATGTCACCTCACCTAGCCCTGTCTCCACCAGGGGCGGGAGAAGGGATTCAGATTTAGAATTGCTGCCCTAAACTACATCCCATCAGCTCCGAGTCAGAACCCCCTCCCCCAAGAAATGTGGGGAGGAGAGCTTCTGACTTGGAGACCACAGCAGCATGTGACCAGGTCCTTGTGGTAAGGACAAAACAAAAACTATGACTTTTCAGGACATTGGAAAAATAATGATGAGAGAAAAACAAGCGGGAATCTCAGCATTCCTATCAGAATTGTGAGCCATTCTTCACAGGCTAAATTGACAGTTGCAACCCTGTGGCATCAGGAGCTTGACCTCCCTGTACTAATATAGAAAAGAATGACAAGCCTTGTGGCCTTATGCCATGGGCCCAGGGGAGCGCATGCTTTCTTCTGACCGAGTGAGTGGTTTTGATTTTTTTTTTTTTTCCAGTGCTGAGGATTGAACCCAGGCTCTTACACATGCTAAGCAAGTGGTGCGCCACTGAGCTACGTCCCCAGCCCGTGACCTAGTGTTTTAGTAAATAAGCAAGCTGAGCTGGGTGTATACTTGTTATCCCAGCCTTCTGGGAGGCTGAGGCAGGAAGATCCTAAGTTCAAACCCAGTCTGGGCAATTCACAAATAAACTTGAACACGCAAACACAGGCACACATGCAAAGTGATGATGATGATGATGTTAATGGTAGATAAGCGACACTGTGCCTGGCACGGTTCCGAGCACCTAGGATTATCTCCTTCCCAACCCTGAGGTGGGATAGTAGGATTCCCCTCATTTTACACATCTGCAAATTCAGGCACAGAACGGTGACACTCTCGAGCTTACACAGCTAGTTACAACAACAACAAAAATCCAGGACAGTGTCAGTTACAGTCTGGCCAGAGGCCTCTTGGAGCTATCCGAGGGCTCAGTCCATCAGAGAACCAGCAACTTAGCTCACCGTGGTGACCTAGGTGTCCTTATCCTAATCGGATTTAATTGCTGCTGGTAGAGCAGTAGAAATCTCAGTAGCCACTTTCCAGGCCTTCCTCCTCCCATGTTCCTATTTGGACGCAATCATAAAATTATATGTTATCTATCACATAATATAAATATGGAGCTGGGAAGCTGTGTCAGTTTATAGAAAAAGAATGTTAATTTCATTCAGAAATATAGCAATCTAATTCAGAAGTTGCATACTTTTTGTTATATTCTAGTAGTCAAAAGTATGAAATGTGAACTTCATTCATTCACTGTTAGAGAAATACGGAAGTTCTAGTAGTACGTGCTCCTAAATCACTTAAAACAGAACTCCAGGGGAGACGTCTACCATTGTAAAAGATGGACTTTTTTAAAAACAGGTACTTCGAGCCCTATGAAGGATGAGCCACTTCTTTCCTACATAGTCTACAATGATCAGGGCATAAACTTTGAGTTCTTGTGTTGGCAGATATTCTTAGGGTTATCCAGGTTCTTCTTGTTTCCATAGTAGTG